GTTTGGTTATGTAATAAGTAAAAAACCCAACACCCCCCAATCCCTCAAACAAAATAAGCAAACCTACTCAAACAGTTTTGTTGTTAATGTAGATTGATTTTTTGCTGGTACAATGTCAAAATACAACTTTGGTTTAATTTGGAAATACTTAACCTGTTTTAGACTTGAAGGGTACTCATTCAGATCGAATACATGGTTAATTGAGTCTGACTGCAGGATCAAAGATCAGCTGTGAAATACAAAAAGCATGTACTCTGCACAAAACTGGCCACATTTTCTTTATTTTTCATAGGGGGTGGGGGAAGGCGCACAATAGAGGCGCCCATTTCATGTGTTCACGTCACTTTTCTGTATTCATGCAATTTCTAGATTTAAGAGTATGTTACATTCCTTCTCAAAAGTGTTATAGGACATTATGAACAGGATGCAGAAATATTTAAATGTTGCACTGCTTCAGTGGTGAAGTTTTTAATTTTCCTTTTGTTTAAACATCCTGTTTGTGAAACATTTTTAGTTTAAAAAAACCCAAAACAAAATGAAACAAATTTACCAAAACAACCCCCCTCCCAAAAAACCCTTGAACTCTTTAGGAGTTTTGTCATAGCATATACAATATTGATAAATACAATGTGCAGTTTATACTGGATTAAGGAGAAACTGTCATTGTGAAAACAAACAAAATTGCGTATGTACTTTCTTATTGGTAAAACTGGAATATTTTTTAATCATTTAAATATGTTTATAAGCATTTATAACCTCATTTATTTGCACTACATCTGCTGCTTATGTACCTTTTACAGTGTGCTCAAACTGGAAATAGAAAAATATATAGTTTCAATTATTTTTTTGTCTTGGTAGCTTATCATTTTCAGGATCAAATATCTTGGCACAGTGATGTAACATTTGGATATCAGTGATTTCAAAGAAACATTAATTCATCTTGGAGATTCACTTGACTTTAAAATCTTTATCCTTTCAGAATTTAAAACAGGGAACTTCTGTTCTAGCTTTTCCTTTTGAATAGTACTTTTGGAACCCAAGTTTTGAACAAATTTGGATTCAGTATACTTAGAGTTGCTTTTAAATACATTGTCTCCCAAATGCATTTTTGTTAGCTGGCCAAAACCTACTATAATGTCCTTTCCAGGCTTGCCAGTCAGTTGATTGAAATCATTCTTTCATGTGCTCCCCACCCTCTACCCTTCCCCACCAGAAAAAAAAAGCAGCTATTAGTTGCAGAGGAAATACCAAGAATGGCAGCTTTTTAAAATGATAACAATGATGTTCCATGTTCCGTGACAGATTTGTGTGTGTCTGTTGACAAAGGCAACAAAACATGAGAACATAAGAAATGCCATGCTGGGTTAGACCTGGTGGTTCCCCTAGTATCCTGTTTCTGACAGTAGCAGGTTATAGCTGCCTTAGAGGGAAGAACATATGAACTGGCATGTCTGTCATCCCTCTCGTATACTCCCTGGAAAAGGTGCGAGACCTGGGATTCCTAGATTTGGGTACTAGCCAGACGAAGGACTGTTCAGACAAGATCTGCTATTGGTGCCTTATTTGGTCAATGAATATACTTAAGAATTCATAAAGTTTTGTACAATCAAAGGGTGTTTATAGGCGTGCTCTGGGAGATGTGTGTTGGGAGTGGCGCTTTGATTAGAGTGGTTCTGAGACATGCTCTAATGAAAGTGCTCAGAGTGTCATGTGTATCAGCATTCCCATGCTGAAAAATGGTGGCGGGGGCAGTTTTTAACTAAAGCTTGTTGAACCAGCTTTAGTTAAAATGCCCCTGCCACCATTTTTCAGTGTGGGATGCTGATGCTGGAGTCTGCTGGAGTGCGGTAATTACCATGCTTCAGCAGACTCGATTAATCGAGTCTAGTCCAATGCGTTTTAACTACAGTGTGTTGGAGCAGCCTCTCAGCATGTCTGTACATGCCCAGAAAGTTTGGCAGCAGTATTCCTTGATTCTATAGTGGTTCCCATGGAATTAATGACAGAAGTCCATTTGGCTTCATTTTATAGCAAGTTTGGACCTACTCTAAAAATGTTGTGACTTAATAGGTGTTAGTCCTGTGATTATAAGATTGGCCAAGCCACACTGCAAAATTAGGGATTTAATTTTCTCAACCAGCATTCTCAAATGAAGGCTATTCTGTGCAATTGAATTAAATATTAAAAAATGTGTAAATGTTAATCAAGCTTTAAAAAAAAAAAAAGTTAAGTGTATAACACTGTGCATATGTATTTAACTCTTTATATATTGCCCATTGTTTTGCTGTCTGGCCATCTTGTTCAATTTAAAATTAACTAGTTCTGATAATATAACTTTCTGCTTCACTGGACACTTTGCTGGTTATAGTTGTTGCCTTTCCACAATGATGGTTGTTTCTAGCAGCTCTAGAATCTTGTATTATTTTTCAGACTGAGGGTGTTTGGTTGAACTGAGTGTCTGAACACCTCTTGCTTTGTCTTTGAATGCATTTTATACTAGCAAATAACATGGGAGTCAAGGTCATAGCTTGTGCATTCACTCTGCAAAGGAGCTAGTTTTGGTAATTACTACTGTCAGTTACCTATGGTCCCTTAGTTGACTAAAGGGAATTATTACTCGTAGGTCAGCTGGCCAAAATATATATTTTTCCCCAGTCTGACACCTTGTATTTTCAGTGCTCGTGCATGTTCTCTCTCTCTCTCTCTTTCTCCCCTCCCGCCATAGGAAGAAAGATAGAATACCTCTTAGTAGCTTTTTAAATGCATTTGACAGTATCTCACAGTAAGTTTTCATGGCTTTGCTGATTTCTTTTTACTGACAACAGGCTGCCAAAAAAATAAATGAAAGGCTCCATCACCAGCACTTGCCAGCAGAAGCGATGGTTTTTGCAGTGCCTGAAAGGCTAACAAATGCAGCCTATATCAGGGTGGGCAGGTTGGGAAGTGAATTTTGAAGCTGAGAGCCTCCACTGAGACCTTAGTAGGCACCTGCCTCCCTTTCATATAATAATGTTGCTGTTTCCTGAGTTCTAGTCTCCACTTCAGTTCCAGTAGTTTCTGTCTTGAAATCTGGAATGAGACATTTCCAGTGATGAGGTGACAGAGTAGTAGTTTAAAAGTGTGATTCTTAAATTCAAGTTTTAACTATTAAAAATGGTAAAAATGGCAGCCTTGGCTTTTTATACATGTATATACAGAAACAACTTCATAGGTGGTTTTTAAGGGTGATTTATAACTAGGATTCTTGTGCGCTTAGACTGCTAGTGGGGAAAATTGAGTTGGCTTCCCCATTTTTTCCATCAGCTTGAGATTTTTGCAGATCTAGTTTTACTCTTTCTTTTAATTTGTAGAGGAGTCTGTTCATTTTAAGCTGTAGCTTCCACAATGTTAAATTTTAGATTTACATATTTTGAGTTAATCTAGAAAGAATCTGTATGCTTATCGATATGCTGCTATACTTGAAGAACTGTTCACAGTTGGTTACAATACTTTTTCCCCCCTGTTTTAGGTTGACAGAACCCTCTGGATACTTAACAGATGGTCCAATAAACTATAAATATAAAACCAAATGCACATGGTTAATTGAAGGCTAGTAAGTATACATTTTAAGTAGATCAAACTATCTGATGCATGGTTACTAACGTACTCCTCTGATTCGGGGATCTTTAGAAAACCTTCTATCTAAAGTACCTAGATGCTAAGCATCCAGGTAAATTCCTTAGTTTGAACATTTTAAAGGTAATTGTTAATTTAAACAACTTAGTGATTTTTTTTTTTTTTTTTTTCAAAAGTACTCAATGTTGGCACTCTACTTCCACTGACCTCAAATGACAAAAATCAGATGAATGCTATAATTAAGCCAGTGCTACATTTTGAAATTCTAAAATAAATGTCTGGTTTACTATTTGATTACTTACACAAGTTGTTTGTAGTTGCAGAAACCTGTCACTTTAGAATATTAACATTATTTTCGATGACATATCAAAAGTAGTTTTGGAACACACCGTAACGCCAAATTAATGTTGTTGGTAATAGTGTTGTAGTGGTGGTGAAACCATGATGGTCCAGGGAATAGGCAAGAAGCAGGGTTTGCTTGGTAATATCTTTTTTATGGTTGGGAGAGTTGTTAGATAAACCTTGGGTATGAAATACTGAAGAAGGTCTTACTTTATTTGAAAACCTTACTACTGTGTCTTGTACTTAGGCCAGTCTCTTAAGCATCTTTATCTGTTCTTCAGCCACAAGGAATATTATAGGTCTGTTTTGTTCTTTAGTTCAAACTGCATAGAGTCATGTACTATTTCTTTATTCACTTCAATGTAATATATGAATTACCATGATAAATGGGGAAGCTGCAGTGCTATTAACATGAGTAAACAATGGGAAGCACTCCTCCCTATAATACTTGACAGGAACTACCTATGTGGAATGCCAACATTTCAGTAAATGCATTTTAGGGCCCCAAACCTCTGCAATGCCAGATGGAAAATAAAAAAGCCCACACAGGAGTTTGATAACTTTGCCATATGGGAAAAAATCTCCCTCCAGAACTTACAAGCTGGCAGTCAAGAACCAGTCAGTCAATCCATCAGAATCTTTCCTCCCACTAGTGGCAGCAGGAGTGGGTAGGAAAAGACTACAGTGCCCTAATACATCAGGTCCTGAATTATATTCCCATTAACATCATTACACAGATTCAGCTTTTTATATTGCAAGGTGCAATGTTGCTGGTAGTCTTAGAGTTTCTAAAGAATTTCCATGTAAGCCTAACACTTGCCTTGAATAACTGAGTCTTGAAACAATGAATGCTAAAGGATGCATGCTAAACCTTTTTTCCTCGATAGCACTTGAGTTCTAGCATTGCAAGAGTGTATGTGTATCATGCATACATACATAGCTAGAACTCCAAGTGCTCTATATACGTGTGCCTACATTACAGCTAGTGGATGAAAAAAAGAAACTGGAGTTCTGTGAACAGTGGGGAGCATAAATGGTGAAAAGCAACACATCTTTGTAATTCATATATATGTGCGCTATTGGTAGTTTTCTTTCCTTTGTTTATTTTATATATAAGATGTGTTGCTTTTCACCATTTATGCTCCCCACTGTTTGCAGAACTGTAGTTTCTTGTTTTCATGCACTAGCTGTAATTTTTGGATATAGAAATTATTCGTGAATTTTTGCATTTGGAAAAAGTCAACAAAAGCTGATTAGAAGTGGTAGATAGTAAAAGCCGTGTTATCCAGCACCTTAGAAACTGGCATGCTCCATTAACTGCCATGCAAGTTGAAGCGGGAAAAGCAAAACTGGAAGTGCCCACTGTAGCACTTTCAGTTTTGCCGGGCCGCCATGGCCTGGGACAGAGCAGCCTGCGTGGGCCTCCCCTCCCTGTCCCCCAGCACACTGATGTGGCGGGAGGGGCAGCAGTGTACCAGACATGGCAGGAGGGGCAGCGGCCCAAACAGGCAAAGACGTCTGTTCAGGCCTTTCGGGTAACCGGCATATTTGGTTATCTGGCACCCTGCATTTCCCATGACTGCTGGATAACAGAGCTTTTGCTGTAGTTAGTAAAATAATGAATTGGAACTCTTTTCAATATAGGACTTCATAATTTTTGTAATCAAAACTTAAATTTGGGTTTTTAAAATTGACATGGTGTCTTTCAAAACTATTGTGAAGATGATAGTAATACCCATTGTTAATTTAGTAATTATTAGCTTTGCATTATGGGTTAAAATTAGAGGTTCATTGATATATTGGTCCTATATTGGATCAGCACTGATATAAAGAAAGCTGACTGTATTGGAAATTTCCTTTTTTTTTTTCTTTTTTGCCTCATGTGGCCAATAATGTGACTGATAAATGCTTCATACATGTATGCAGCTGTAGGCGGCAAAGAGCACAGCCTGGTAGCTTGGAGAGCTGTGTCCAGCTGGTAAGTCTGCTGTGGTGGAAAGGGTGTGAGGAGGGGCAGGTCAAGGACCCCACAGTGAGGGAGGGAGTGGGGTGGGGCCCACCCTGAGTCTGGCACAGCCCCAGCCCATAGCAGCCTGCCCTGCCCTGCACAGATATGGGGGGCACCTCCCATATCCTCCTGGGGTGTGCACAGCAGTGGGAGCTCCCCCCTT